TTCTTACAGTTTTGAAAGAAATAATTCAGTTGTGAGACATAGTTTAAATTAAAAAAAAAATTTTTTTAATATTTGTGTTTGAGTGTTTTGCCTGTGTGCATGTAAGTGCACCCTTGTCATGCAATGCCTTTGGAGGTCAGAAGAGGGTGTTGGATCCCCTGGAACTGGAGTGACAGTTGTTAGCTGCCATGTGGGTGCTAGGAATCAAACCCTGGTCCTCTGCAGGAGCAGCCACTGCTCTTAGCCGCTGAGCCATCTCTCCAGCCCCATGAGACATAGTTTAAGTAGAAGTTTATTTAGCAAAGCAGGCATTCCAAGGAGAAAGTGGAGGGGGTCTCCCAAAAGAGTCTGGATAAGTTCATGAATATTTATGAGGTGAGTGGTATATTCACAGAGTAAGGTGACCCTTTTCCCTCCTAGGTCATGGTAGCCTGGCTCACGGTTTTAGGGTGTTTCTTCTTACGGTCCCTCAGGAAAGCCCACCAGATAGAGGCATGTAGACCCCTGTAGGTACTTATGGTGGAGAAATACCCTAGAAATTTAGTTTTTGATCTGTAGGAACAGCCTCTCTGTCAGACTTGAGGACATTTAAGCACATGGAGTATTCTGGCCATCAGAAGACAGCCACCACATATAGACAGCTTTCCTGGTTGTTTCATACCTAACTTCTTTTTGAGAATGTTCAAAAATCCCAGGATTGATCTTGTAGCTGTCTATCCATTAAGAAAATTGAGGCTTTATCATGAAAGTCGGGGCCAGGATTTCACAATAGTTTGAAGGCTGTAGAGGCAGGATCAGGGCTTAACAAGGGGATGCAAACAAGACTTAGTGAAAGACATGAGCAGTGAATCAGTTTGTGTCCATCATTAGGTAGGATCCTTAGAAGGTAACATAATACCAGCAGAAATTGATGATGTTCAGGCTTTTAAGAAGATAATTTCTGTTGACAAGTTCAATAGATTAGAAAACCTGGGTCTGTAATGAAGTTGTCTGAACTGCAACTGCCTTTAACAGGTTAGGAAATTTATTGCATAAAATTGTAACTGGCCAGTGAGATGGCTCAGCTGGTGAGGCACCTGCCGCCAAGTCCGACAAGGCTGAGTTCAGTCCCTGGGGTCCACATAGTAGGAGAAAGCTGACTCATGCAAATTGTTCTCTGATCGCTGCATGCTCACTGTGGCGTGCACACGCACACGCAAGTAAAATTCAGCTGGGTGTGGTAGTGCAAGCCTTTAATTCTAGCACCCAGGAGGCAGAGGCAGGAGAATTTCTGTGAGATCAAGACCAGCCTGGTCTATGTTAAGTTAGGTTTGGGGGCACAGAATACAGGCATAGGAGAGAAAGAAAGAGACCATACCACACCTCAGACGGGACTGCATTTTATTCGAGGGACAGCGGCCCTCCTGCATCATGGAAGCAACTGGGAATCGGGAGGGTTAGAGATTGTACAGGGCCAGGGCATGAGGAAGCAGATGCAGCCACAGGGGTCTACGTGTCTCATCTTCTGGGGCCCTCTGCTCAAGCAGGATGGGCTAGCTTGAGCAACGCCTGTTTCCAACAGTTCCCCCTGAGTTCTGGGAGTGGCCAGTCCAGGTGTGGTTTATCAATAAGATCAGCAGCAGTCTCAGAGGACTTCTACTTTTCTGTCAGTCTACATAGTGAGTTCCAGGTCCAAAGCAGCAAATCCTGATGGCTAGCATGATCATTTTTCTGACGAGATTATAATTAAAATAATGTTTGCAAATTTGCCCAACCCCTAGTTTCACTTGAAGCTATATCAACTAACATTTGGGCACATGTCTGTATGCAAAAAGGTTTGTCACAGCTTTGTTGCTAATATTGTAAAGTTAAGTGGTATTTCCAATGATAAGAGGTTGGTTTAAAAATTGTAGTAAAAGCAGTACATGGACTGGGTATTGTGGCGCACACCTTTGATCCCAGCACTCAGGAGGATCTCTGTAAGATGATCCAGGCTGGTCTACAAAGTGAGTCCCAGGCCAGCTGGGGCTACAGGGAGACCCTGTGTCAACAACAACAACAAGAAGCAGTATATATTGTATAGATCCAATTTGTTTAAAATAAGTGGGCTGGAGAGATGGCTCTGCAGTTAAGAGCACTGGCTGCTCTTGTAGAGGACCCGGGTTTGAGTCCCAGCACTCATATGGTGGCTAACAACCATCTGTAATTCCAGTTCCAGGGGATCTGATGCCCCCTTCTGACTTCCATGGGCACTGCATGACATGGGTGCCCTTACATGCAGGCAAAACATTCATACACATAAAATAAAAAAAATAAGTGTTCCTAACTCCTCAGAAACAGTAGGTGTTTGTTGAATGATGGATAATTAACTTAGTATGCTGAAGTATGCCCCCTCTGCCTTCCTAATTACAGCTCCATCCAGCACACCCCGAACCACCACCTTCCTCTATCACTGTACTCGCTCACCCTGTAGGGCCTTTGGATCTACTGTGTGTATTGGAGTCTGACTTCTTGGAGTTAATGCTCAGCTCAGTAGTCATTTCTTCCCAGCCCAAGATGACAGACCTTTATGACCAGGCCAGCTCTCCTTCGTCGCCCTGTAGTGTTTGATGCCTTTGGAGTTTCACATGTGTTTGTGGCATGACTTGATTAAGGTCTCTCTCCCCCCACTCATCTATCAATTCCACATCCATGTTTTTGCTTATTATTACTTGTCCTGCAAGTGCATGAAGCTTTTGAAATATTAGATGCTCAGTAAACATTGTTAAATGAGTGGAATATGTAAAAATAGTAAGAGTATTATATCTGGGTAGTGGCATTGGCTGATTCTCCTCTCCTTTTCTCACATCTTCCTCCCTCCCTCCCTCCCTCCCTCCCTCCCTCCTTCCCTCCCTGTCTCTCTCCCTGTCTCCCTCCCTGTCTCCCTTCTTCTCTTCATTGGTCTCATGGCTGACCTCAAACTTTCTATGTAGCCAAAGCTGATCTCAAACTCTCTGATTCTTCTACCTCAGTTTCCCCAGTGTTTGATGTCTTTGTTTATGCATGTACGTTCTATGAATTTTCTACTTGGTAGACATTATGCATATTATATATAATGTATATTAATGTATATTATTTATATTGTGTGGCAGAAAAGTTCTACAAATGAACACGTATTCATTGATGAAGCTGGTTATTTGGCAGGGTGCTAGGTTCTGTTGGAGATGACTGTAAACAGGAACACTGCAGAACTATGGGCCAGGCACTCCGAGCATTCCACACAGCATCACTCAGCCACCCCTCATGATAATCCACTCAGTTATTGTTAGGTGGAGATGGCACTTTCACTCCTATTTATAGATGAGGAATTCAAGCACAGAGAGTTTAAGCAAGTTGCCTGAAGGTGCCGGGCCTGTACGTGCCAAGACCTGGGTTCAAATGCCAGTAACTATGCCCTTAAAGAATCCCTCATCCAGTCTTTTACCCAGCTGGCACTGCAGCCAGCTTGACTAGAACTCATGGCATGAATATTTGTTATTTTACTTCCTTGCTGTATGGGCCAGGCCAACTTTGAACTCTAGATCCACCTGCCTTGGCTTTCCTAAGCTAAGGAATTATGGAAATGTGGCGCTACACAGGGCTAGAGAACATTTAAAAATAATATGAAATTCAACTGTAGATGTTTCAGTAGGAGGACATCCTGGCCACTAGACAATAGGCCGTGATGCAGAGGCCTTGGTGTGTGCACAGGCTCTGAGGGCAACGACTGGGCCAGGGATGAGCCATAGGAAGCAGGAGGAAGTGAGGTTGTCAGAATATGCTTTTGATGGGTAATAGATTTGAAGTGATTTTCTTTGTTCTGGTAAGTGAGGAGTGTCTGCAGAATTCAGTATGCTTTGCTGGGAAGCAGCATCTGTGGAATGGATTCTGACTGTCGATCATGGATGTAAGTGGAATGTGAAATATCCCCACAGTTCTTGTAGCACTGTGATATGATGATCAGCACAGATTTGCTCACAGGGGTGGAAGGAACATCAGTTCCCAAAGTGCTTTGTCTGTGGAAAGTCTCCTTTCACTGAGACTAAACACCAACAAGCTCTCATCTAACGGTTTTCCATGGCAACATTTCCACTGCTGAAAGCTTCCAGGAGAGCCTCACCCTAAGCATGTGTTGTGTGACTTCTCCTGGGCAGATGCAAACAAGCACCTACTCCCCCCAGACAGGGCACCACCCACAGACACCAGCAACAACTCCATCAGAGTCCAGCTTGGAGAACCAGGAAGTTTATTGGGCTGGGCATGGGTGAGGGGTTATGTACAGGAAGCTGGGTGGCCCCCAAACAGCTGCATTACTAAAAGTCTCACCCAGAAAGATGACTTCCCCATGGCTGCACAGATGGCGCACCCCTCTCCCCCACCCTTATACTGTGTATTGTATCACCTCCTGATACCGTGTGCATCTGGGGCAGGAC